ATATTCCTCACGACAACATCTACATCAGTTCTGGCCATGAAGGAATAAACCAATGCCTGAAACGGCTAAACAGCTTGTCTCAAAGCATCTGGAGCTGAAGGCAGAGGACAGGTGACCACTGGGCAAGGGAATGATCAAGGGAGAGAGAGGGCTGTGTAAATATTTGGGTAGTTGGGACAAACAGATAGGAAATGTGGATGCATACGGGGGCCCTCCTCCCGCTTCCTCTCCCTGCTCTTCGTAGAATTGGCCTGTGCTTCCCACCGGCGTCTCTAGGAAAGCCTCCATGGGATAAAAACTTTCATAAATTATGAAAAACCTCAGAAAATATTGAACAGCTGCTTTGTGCTCTGGGGGTGACTCTGCATTCCGAAGAGCCTGTTCAAGTGGGCCCATATTTTTATGCTCCTTATAGACGCACAGTGTATCTTCCAGCTAGACCCAAAGAGGACTCTGCTGCAGCATTATAGCAGACAGAAGGCCAAGGGGGTAGATTGAGCATCCTTCCTCATAGACTACACTGTCTTCTGCCCCATCTGTGCTTGCCGTGCACAGTGGGAATCCAGCAGACACACAAGACAGCCCACTGAGCAGAGGTTGCCAGTTCCTCCTGTGGACATTGGTGAGTGGCCAGTGGATCATGGCCATCTGATCACCCATGGGAGGAATATGAGTGATTTGCGTATCCCCAGCTGTTCTCCAGAGAGCAGCGAAGTCAACTCCACCACGAAAGATGCACGAGTCTATGGATGCCTGGGACCTGGCAGGCTTTCAGCTGGGTTGGGCCTGCTGTGTGATGCTGGAGAAATCACTTGGCTTGTCTGGTTTTAGGATAGTTTTTGTTTTGTTTTGTTTTGGTTTGGTTTGGTTATGTTGGGTTTTCTTGTAATAGGGTTTCTCTGTGTAGCCCTGGCTGTCCTGGAATTCACTCTGTAGAGTGTGAATATGAGTGTGGCCATTTGAGCAAGTGTGCACAGACACACATGAAACAAACAAACATGTTGCATTCACAGCTATTACATGAAGAGCGAGCACAAAGAACTGAATAAATATGCCTCTGGCATTCAACTGTCTGCAGGCCCCTGGAAGGCTCGAGTTATCAAATGGCAGCTGTATGGCAGTCTATTGTCTCACTTTACCTTAGTAACACAAACAAATATACCAGTCAACATAATAGACACTCACTTGTCAACAGCAACTGAGGTTTGCTACGGCTGTAAAGTAGGGAAAAATCCAGAGTCAAGACTCGGGTGTCACGTGCTTACATGTACAGCAGACCCGTGAAGAGCTGTCAGCCGCCCATCTTTCTTTCTCTGGGCCTTTCTTCAACAAGTCACTAAATACATCCATTCAGGTTTTATGTCTTGTCTAAATGCACCATTTATTATAAATATTTTGACAAGATAAAGTTTATTTTGGCAAAGTGATCCACGGCTCCAGTTTATCAGTTTTACAAGTATCTCTTCTTCATGATCTTGATGCTTTGCTTATGTTCTCATTTTATGTGTGCTCCACAGTCTTGTATCAGTAACATCTATTATAAACGACTGCTTTTATTTTGATTGTGATTTTGTTGTCGGCAGTCGAGGAGTGGGTAGAACATGCTCCCACCCCCGGCTCTGAGGCGCCTCTCTAAACTCGCACTGCTCCAGGGCCATCACTGTCTGCTGAGTTTCATCAATTCCAGCTAGGTGGAAGTGTTGACAGACACCCAGATTTAGACTAACAACATTTTAGTTTGTATGGTTGCTGCATAATTTGTTGAGCTCGAAGAGATCCTTCCTATATAAATGACCACCGAAATTGACCCTGACTGGAGAACAGGATACGCCTGCTGTCCTGTGGTCACTTTCAGAACCACTTTCTCCGTGTCTTTCCATGTCTCCCACAGATGACCTCAACCTGACCCAAACTTCTCCCTCGAGTTTGGGAGCTGCGCTTTGCAGTCCCACACCCTTTACTGATGGCTGTCTGCTGGGATTTGGTGTTTGCTTGTGTTTCACGTCTTGTCTTCTGTGTCTGGCCCATCATTCCATTGCTGCCCAGAATAACTTCATCCTCTTCTTTGCCTGCCCCATTTACTGGGTACAATAGTAGACCTTTCTTTTCCCTTCAGGTAGTTTCCAACGAGTTTCTGAAACCTTGGATGTTCCTTTTTGAGAGGAGAGGGGATACCACTCATCTGGAGAGTACATGGCATATAAGTTTGTTGATGTGTGGTGTGTGTTTATATCTTACTTCTTCTATAAGAATTTACTTTCTAACTATAAGCACAGACTGCTTGTTCATTTCCCAGGCACCCAAACCCAAATAATGGCATAAAAACTATATTAATTACAACATTGTTTGGTCAATGGCTTAGGCGTCTTTTTAGCTAGCTATTGTATCTTAAATTAGCCCATTTCTTTTCATCTTTGTATCGCCAAGAGTCTGTGGCTTACCGGTAAGTTTCCAGCCTGGCGTCTTTCTCCCTCAGCAGCAACTTGGCATCTTCTTGACTCCACCTACTTTCTCTATATATCTCTGCTAGCCTGGATATATTCTGCCCTGCCACAGGCCAAAGCAGCTTTATTCATTAACCAATAAAAGCAACACAGATACAGAAGGACCTCCCATATCACCTAACCATAGAGACACCCTGTACTTTCATCTGTATCATCAAAGAGCTTTAGTGTGAAATCAATAAATTGTTACTGCCTCGTGTTTAAAAACAACTACACAGTCACAGCGATTGAAGTCCTAGATTTTATTACTTTCTTCAAAATTAGTCTTCAGCCTATAAATAAGTAATTTATTTCTAGGAACTTTTTTTCTTCCGAGTCTTTCAGATAGAAAAAGAAATATCTCTATAATCCACATTTGCATACGATCTGTCATTTCTGGCTTTTGGTGTTGGAAATAGCAAACAAAGAGCTGGACAGTGGAAGCAGAGGGAGACAGAATTTAGACCTGGGCTATCCTAAAGCCACCTCAGTTTCAACCAGACTCCCTAACAGCTGGGCCTGGCTCTTAGTAGACTCTTTGTTATGGTGTTCAGAGCTATCCAGGCCTCTGAGGGCCACAACGCTGCCACTGGGTCACCCTGAAGAATGTATGTTTCTCAAATACTTCCGAATTCATCCCTAGAAACCATGACTTATGCATTCTCCACGCCTGCCAAGGACTTAGGTTATGTATTTTTACAGCGGTCTTGATCTTACCCATGCTCAACCCAGTGGAAAAGAACGTGGTTCAGAGGACTCACCATGCCGGGTGACTAGGGTGGCTTAGGTTTCAGCCATGCTTCAAAGAGATCTGGGGCAAGTGACTGCTCTGCTTAAGGGCCTTGGAAATTGTCCGCAGTGTTTGTGATGACTGACTTCTTAGTCAGATTTCTTAATTAGAGTGGTCGAATTCACAGAAAAGTTGCTTGAAAAATGAAACACTGCCCTGGTCTACATCGCAAGTTCCAGGCCCGTCAGGCCTACGTAGTAAGACCTTGTCTCAAAAAAACAAAAGCAAGACACTGGCTACAAACAGGCTCCTTATTACATTGGGATGAATTGTCCCAAATGGCATGTTTTTTTCTCCTGAGGCCATTAGCCGAGGATCTGAGCTGGCGTTTTGATGAGACTGGTGTATGCAAATCATGCCTGCCTCTGCTCTAAGTAGTACCTGACCTAATGCCACATCTCGCCAAGTTAGGAACTGGAAAATGGCCACTTTCCAACATTTCTATCTGGTTTACCCCCAGCATGGACTCCACCAGCCAACATCCTATGTTCCTGGTAGTGTTGCAGGCCTTCAGGTTTCCTATTCTTTCCTAGCCTGTGACCCATCTTCACTTCCCCCACAGCTCTCCTTCTTGAGGGTGCCAGTGTTGGCTGCGGTCTCCTCTTGAGTGCCTGTCGCTGCACAGGGACACACTCCTCTCAATTGGGCTTTCCCTTGTGTGCTCCTTCTCAAGGTGGATCCTTTATCTCTGTCAACTGTAATGAGACTAACGGGAGGAAAGGGTCTTGCAGAGCAGGCTGCAGGCCGCTGGCCAGGAAGGGGGCGTGTCCACTGTACAACTCGGGTTGCGTAGCTGAGGCAAGTGCCTGCTCAGAGCACATCAGAAGAGGCAAGTCCATGGCAGGTGGGGGTGCATTAGGAACTCACCCTGTCCCCCGATTCTGCTTGCCTGCAGGGACTTGTGCACACAGGGCAGATGGCTGCAGACCACAGTTCACTCCCAAGGGTCCAGCACTCGTTTTGCGCTTCTGAACCACATGCGACACCCTCTTCCCAAGCAACTGTTGCCCCATCCCACATCACCTCTTCCGAAAGGAGGGACTTCTCTCCCTGGATCCCTCATGAGATGGGAGTTAGTCACCAGTCTTTAAAGCTTGCTCACAGCCGTGCTGCCTGATTGGGCAAGGAGCTGTATCGCGTGATAAGGGGAGTTCATGGAAAACGGTGTGGGTGCTGGCTCCCAGGAGCTTTCTTCCCTGGGGTATGATTTGAAATGTATGTTTTTAAACCCTTTCTTCTTTTCCTACCCTAGATATGCATCAAGTCTGTGTCTCCTTTCCCTTTCTGCATATACAGTAGTCTCTCTATTGACATTTCCCTTCCAGAACATTCTACTGGGAGAAGTTATCAGGGTTGCTGTCTTAACTCTAAAACAGGGGATTGCAATTCCTAGCCTTCCAGAATGGGTGAATAACCGCTTTGTCATGAGGATCAATATCTGCCACCACAGGAAGCAGGGTAGGGAGCAGCTGGACAAAGGCCCATCCTCCAGCTGAGCCACAGGGTCAGTGGTGTGACCCGAAAGGTTGTGCTTGTTTGGTGAGTCAAGCAGGGTGACTAGGAGATAAATCCAGAAAGACTAGGAGCTTGCGCCAGGTGCTCTCCAGAGAGAGTCCGCTGGACCCCAGTACAGCGCTCAGCTCCATGTGGTGTTGCTGGCCCAGGGTAGGGGAATCCATTTCCTCAGTGATCTACAGGGCTTGATGGGCAGATGTCCACCAACACTCTAGCTCCATTTGTGGTTGCTAGTTTTTTTTTTTTTAAATAATAGCTTATTGAAATGTTCTTTGCTTACTTTAAGTCCACCCCTTTAAACATCCAAGAATGCAGTGGTGTTAGTATACTCACAGACGAGGGCAGCCACACACAGCATCAAAATGAAGCACCGACCTGTTGAGCAACCCTGACCATAAATGTCCATAACCCCTTCCCCAAGCTGCTGCCTGCTCAGTCTGCAGATCTGCTGTTCTGACCTTGTGTCCTTGGTGACTGGCTTCTTTCATTCTGTTAAACGACTCAGGGTCATCTGTGCTATAGCAAGGACCAGCATTTCATTCTGTTATGGCCGAATAAATTCCCGTTGTGTAAATACACATAGCCTTATCTTACCTACTCACGTGACAGATGTCTAGGCTGTTTCCACTATTTTCTTAGTGTAGCTCTGAACATTTGTAGACACATCTTTGTGTGGACATATGCTTTCAATTATCTTGGGATGGAATTGCTAGGTTCTACAGAAACTCTGTGTTTTGTTTTGTTGAGGAACTGCCGGTCTGTTTTTCACAGTGGCTGCTTGACAGTCTCACCAGCAGAATACGAGGGCTCCAGTTTCTCCCCGTCCTTGTCAACTTTAATGATTCTCTGGCTTTTGATTTCAGGCGACGTGATGGATGCAGAGTGGTAGCTCATTGTGATTTAGATTTGTATTTCCACTGGAATAAATGACGTTGAACACCATACCAAGACTCGCTGGGCCTTTGCATAGCTCTGTTGAAGAAAGGTATATTCAAATGCCTTGTCTCTCTATATTGGCAATTGTTTCTGTGTGTGTGTGTGTGTGTTTGTGTGTGTGAAGGGTACGCATGTGGCAGTCAGAGGACCACCTCAGGCGTTGGCCTATCTTCTTTAAAGAGATAGGGTCTCTTTCTTGGTCTCCACTGTATCTATCAGACAAGCTGCTCATGGGTGTCACTTTAGGAGCCCTGGGGATTACAACGCACACTACAGTACCCAGCTTTACATGGGTTCTGGGGATTTGAACTCAGCTCCTCATGCTTGCATGGTAGGCATATTTACCCGTTGAATCACTGTAATGGTCTGTGCTGTACCTTTAAGAGATAAGCCTGCCCATTCCCCCCTTCTGCTAAGGCAAATGGATCTTCCTTCCTCTTCCAGCCTGTGAGCTCTCAGGCTCTCTCTCTTTGGAAGAGGTGGCTGTCTCCGGCAACTCCTTTCCCCTTCCCTTCCATAACCCACTAAATAAACTATACCCACTTTCTCTGCATAGCATCTATCTGTCTCTTACTAGCCACAGCTCCTCATGGGATCCTCGGGAAACGCGCCGTTTTATTTAAACCATTACAATCACCTTCTGAGCCCCTTTGGTCCATACTTTTTAAGTGTTTAAGAAATATATTTCATGTTATAACTTTGGTCATACATAAACTAACCTAGACGTTCTGGGGAGAACTCTGTACATACTGCTAGGATATAAATAGCGGTTTATTATATTAGGGGAATTTTGTCTTAAAAAAGACTATTTTTTAAGAACAACTTCAAGTTCACAGCAAAATTGAGAGTATAATATTTCCCATGTGCCGCCCCCCCCCAAGTACCCATACTCCCAACCATGCCGCAAAACAGTGAAATAGTTGCTAGAACCAGTGAGCTTACCCTGACAGAATTATCAAAGGTCCCCATGAGTCTAATGGCATGTCTCTATTATCATAACACCCCATAGAGAATCTCACTGCCCTCAAAGTCCTCTTCTCACCTGTCCATGCCTCCTTCCCCAGGCCCTGGTAGTTCCTCTATCTCTGTGGTTTGACCTTCCCACGATGCCATGTAGTTAAGCTCCTTTGGTACCTAACAAGTTCAGAGTAGATTCTTCCATTTAGCAATAGGCACTCAATTCCCTATGTATCTTCATGTCTCAATAGCTCGCTTCTGACTAGTGCCGAATGCTATCCATTGTGTGAGTGTACCATAGCTTACTCACCTGCTGGAGGGTCCCTTTGCTAAAAATAGCATTCAAGTTTTTGTGCAGACTTGTTCTCAAGTTCATGTGGATGAACAGTGAGGACTATGCTCACTGGGTACATGATAAGGCTGTGTTTACGTTTGGGGGAAACCATGGAACTGACTTCCAATGTGGCTGCATTTTGTACTCCAACACCTACCCCCAGCCCACAGCCAGGAGAGTTCCCAGGGCTTCAAATCCTCTTCAGCATTTTGTTTTTCCTCTTCAGCATTTTCTGTCATTTTGGATCTTGGCCAGTCTAAGTATTCCATGGGGTATCACTGTTGCTTTAATTGACAGTTCCTCCATGGGGTGTGAGATCAAATATCTTTCAACTGTCATTTGCGTCTTCTCTGGCGGGGTGTCTGCTCATCTCTTTGCCCATTTTTTAAGCCGCCGCTGTTCATTTCTTATTGCTGTGTTGTAAGAGTTCCTGGTATATTCTGGGTGAATCTTCTAGCAGGTACAGCAACATCTTCTGTAAACACTTTCCTTCGGCTTGTGGCTCATCTTCTCATCCTTTGGCAGTGCGTTTCACGGAGCAAAAGTGTTAATCTCTGTGGAATCCAGTGTATCAGTTACATCTTTCTTAGGTCATGCCTTTGATCTAAATAGTCATCGGCACAGCCAAGGTCATCTAGATTTTCTGTTGTCAGCCAGGAGTTTTATATTTATGGCCTTTGTGTTTTAGGTTGCTGCTGCACTTTGAGTTAGCTCTTACAAAGAATGAAGAGTGAGTCTGTTTGTCTCTGCTTGTGAGCTTTGCACACTTCATTTTTTCTCTAATTGTTGGATTTAATCTGAACTTCTACCTTGTCTCTGAGCTGCTTTCCTGTCTGGTAATATTCTCTCCCATTTTGTAGAATACCCCCCCCCCCACGTTTTTGACTGTGTACTTGGAAGCACAGATTTCTGATGACGCTCAATCTTCTGCTTCTGTCTTTTGTCTGTGTCCTCGTCACAGCTTAGAAACCATTGCCTGACCGGAGACCAAGCTTTGCCTTCACATTTCTCTTCTGAAAGCCTTGGCACTTGCATTTAGAGCAGCTCTGTATATTTTGAGATGTTTCTTGCACATGGTGTGAGCTTCTGTCTCTTGCATGTGATTAGCCAGGTATGTTGACACAATTGTTGGAAATCTATTCTTTAACTGTCTTGGCACCCTCACCCAAAACTCCATTACCAGTTAGAGTGGCGGTGTCTATTTCTAGAGTCAGTGCTGTCTCATGATCTGTGCGTTCACCCTCCCGCCGATAGCAGAGTGTCTTGTTTCCTACAGCTTCCTGCTAAGATCTGAAATTGGGAAGTACGTCTTCATTTCAAGATAACTGTGGCTATGTCCTGTGTGTATCCACGTGCATTTGGAGGTCAACTTGTCAGTTTCCGAAAGAACTAATGTGGGTGTTGAAAGGGGTTGTTGGATGCATGGTCTCCAGGTAATGCATCTTGAATCTTCTAGTTCACAGACACTGGCCGCTTTACTTAGATATTCTTTCAATGACGTCCCGTGTTCTCAGCCTACAGGACTTGAATTTCTTTGGTCCTGATCAGTATTTTCTTCTTTTTGATGCTGTTATAAATGAAATTGTTTTCTTAATCTTGGGGTGTTCATTGCTGCTGTATAGATACAGAACTGAATTTTATACATTGATCTTTCCCTCTCTTTTTCCTCTCTCTTTTCTCCCTCCTTTCCTCTCCTGCTCTTACTCTCCACACCCCTCTTATCACTGCACCCTCTGTTATGAGATTATTTAAGTAAAACGCTGCAGGTCCCTGAGTGGCAGCAGCAGGCAGCGGGCCATGAGACCATGCCGCAGGTCCCCAAGCAACAGCAGGCAGTAGGCAGTGGGTCCTGGGACTGGCCAGTCCCAGGCAGGGAACCTCATGGTGAGTGAGACAGCCAGTCCCACAAGGAGAGACAGATGGATGGGCATGCCACAAGACCATGCCACAGGTCTCCAAAGGTGGCTGGTCCTGGGCAGGGAGCCATATGGCAGGTGAGAGACAGAGACAGGTAGGCACATCATGCAGAGTGAGGTTGGATATTTATTTAGTGGGTTATGGAGGGGAAGGGGGAGAAGGGGAGAGAGAGGCAGAGAGAGAGAGAGAAATGGGGGGAAGGGGAGAAGGGAGAGACAGAAGCTGACTCTGAGAGAGCGAGAGACAGAGACAGAGACTCAGGCTGGAAGCTGAAGATCAGCTTGCCTCGGAGGATGGGGGAGGGAGTGGGCATGGCTTGTTTCTTAAAGGGACAGAGCAGACCATTACACCCTCTCTCTTACCCCTTCCCTTCTCGTATTCTTCCCCAGTTCTCTTTCCCTCTTCCTGTCTTGTAGTAAGAGCTGCGGGCCTGCTTTTCGTCCTGCCCGGCTCCTGGCCACCTGGCTAGCTTATGGCCTGAAATAACAACACACAAATTGTATTCATTTAAACACTGCTTGGCCCATTATATCTAGCCTCTTCTCGGCTAACTCTCGCACCTGGACTAGCCCATTTCTAATAATGTGTGTAGCACCCCAAGGTGCGCTTACCGAGAAGATTCTAGCCTATGTCCATCCTGGGTCAGAGCTTCATTGCGTCTGCCCCCAAGAGGAGAGCTATCGAGTCTGAGCTCACTTCCTCTTCCTCCCAGCATTCTGTTCTGTTTACTCCACCCACCTATGTTCTAACCTATGAGGCCAAGCAGTTTCTTTATTAATTAACCAATGACCTTCTTCCATCACTGTCTCTTTCTCCTTCTCTCATTTCCCCTTCTGAAAGATACAATACAGGTGACCCTAGCAGGTCTTGCTGCAGGTGGGGGACTACAACAGGTAAGGGACAGACAAATATGCCATGCAGAGAGAACTTGGATATGGAGAGTTTAATTAGTGGGTATTGGAAGGGTATGGGATGGTAGGAGGGCATGGGGGGAAGAGAGAGAAAAGGAGAGATAGAGAGAGAGTAGGAGAGAAAAGAGGGAGGGGGAAGAGACAGAATGCTGCCTCTTTAGAAGAACAGCGGGCAAAGAGAGAAAAGAAAGCCGAGTCCAGCTTGCTTCCCTATTTCTCCCTCTTTCTTATCCTTTCCTCCTCCCTCTCCCTGCCCCTCTCTCCCTCTTTGCACCACCTCCATCCTTGTCTGGCTTCCCTTTCATTCTCTGACTTGCTAAGCTGCCAATGGCACTGGGTCTTACCCAGGCTGCTCTCTGTCTGGATTTCTTCTTTCATTAAAGTCTCCCGGCTCATCTTTTAGCTCTATTGCACGAGGTGCCACTGTGCTGGTCCAGATGTGCACTGGCTCTTGAGCAGCTGCAGGACTATTAATGTTTTGCCTCTTCCTTTCCCTTCCCGGTGCCATCCATCGACTAAGGCAGCGTCCACAAGTCTTTGCCCATTTTTTTCTCCCTATAATTCTCATCACCTACACAGTGCCAGGAACGAAGAACGCTCAGCAAAGCCTTTATCGAATAAAAGAAAGAATAGCTAGCATTAGGGGCAAAGAGCCATCATTAAGAACTCCAGGGGTGTGTGTAGGTGGGGCACATACCTCCTACTTAACCAATCTGGCCTCCCTCAGCTGCATTATATACCAGAATGGAATGTGATCGTCTTGGGAGAGCAGAGGCGTGAGGACCCGGGCCAGTAACTCTTCTTTTGTTGTTTCCTTACCAGAACTCCCTGCCTGGGGGTGGAAAAGTCAAGAAAGAAAACGTCAGTTCCCTGAATCATTTGTAAATGAATAACCTGTGTGATTGCTTTGTTCTCACCTGTCCGGTGGCACAGCTGACTTACACGGTGGGGGGGTAGCAGGGGAAGAGTCTGGATTTTTCTTGCCAAATTCTTTCACTCTAATAGGGAAATTCCTGACCAGCTGTTGCAGTGAGTAGCAAGAAAAATATTCCCTTGGAACAGTGTGGCGAAAGACACATTTTGTGGGCTGCCTCTCCTCAAAGAATGCCGAGAGCCTTCCAATCACCGTCCTCTCACCCAGAGTTCTTCAGAAATCTCGGTTAACAGTGCGCGGTATTTTGTTTTCTCTTAGTTGGAATTTTCTTAAAAGTCTAGGTTCAACCCTGGGGCTCAAATGGCAGGATAAAACCCAGAGAATCAGGAGGACAGTTGAGGGTGGCAGTCAACAGAGGGAGAAGCCAAGGGCCAGAGAATGAGACCTGGTTTCAGCGGACTGCTGCTCCCCTGACGGTCTAGTCTGCGAAATCCACATCCAGCGGTTGAACCAGCAGAAGGCAACCGGTTGCCTCTGGGGCTGTGTTCTAACTGAGCCCGGCTTCGCCCTTCCCTTCTGCAATGGGCTTTGCTGCTGGGTGAGGAGAGGCCTGTAGAACAAGGTCCTGTGAGAGGAAACAGCTGCCTCGCAGGAATCTCTGTTTTAACTTAGAGTCTCTGTCACCACCACCGAGTACAATGCCCGGTTCAGAGTGGGGGTCCCCGGAAAGGCCAGAACATTTAAATAAGATGAAGTAATTAGCTTTTCCCTCCCCAGCTGAACTCTTTCCCAGTCTGTGTGAATCACCCTGAGGCTGTTCCTTCTTTGTCCTCTAAGCCAAAGGGTGCTAATGTCTGCAGCACTTAGGGCAGGTAGGTCATGAGTCAGGATACGTTCTGTGAGTGAATAAAATAAAATAATTATTTCCCCGTCCATAAAAATGAAAGGAAATTAATCTCAAAATGAAAACACACAGCTTACGGTGTGAGCTTTGAAATGCCTTGTCAAAGGAGATTTTGAAATGCCCAGGTGTTTATTTTGGAACAAAAACGGAAAGGGAAATTTGTAAAAGCGCAGTCCTCCCCCAGGTACTCTGTTAGCCCGGTGTTTCAGATAAACAACCTGCCAGGACTACCCACCCTGGCTTGGTTTTGGTGGGGGAGGTTGTGTGTTGGGGGAGAGGTTCTGTTTTCTTTGATTATTTTGCCTATTTGCTTCAAGATACCCCTCTATTTAGAAGGGAGAACTACTTCAGCAAACCTTCCGAGGTCAGTAGTGCTGATGTGAGGTGTCTTAGACCAGAGCTTCTGAGGATTCCTGGGCAAATTTCCAGCTGCTTCCTACCACACTCTCCTCTAAAAGGAGCAGACTCTGAGTCAGGGTGACTGCTTTGTGAAATTGGTTACAAACTTGGATCTTCTGTGAGTCAAAACCCCCAGACCTGGATTCTTCTGCCTTCACTTCCTCGGCTGTGGGAGCGTTCGTTCCCAATCCCCCAGGTGCCGCTATTTCAGTCCCGCCGTATTTAGTAAGCATGGGTTGAGTCTCTCACCTTTCTCTGAAGAGCTGCGCAAGAGAGTCGGAAGCTCACGCAGCTCACAACGACGTAAAGGCATCATTTCCGCCCACAGTGAAATGGATGAACGTCTCAAAGGGGGCGGGGAGAGGATGGGAGGAGAAAGGCCCGAGGAACGGTCCTTCAAGGATCTTGGAGGTTAAAGGACACCCATTATTTAAGATGAGGAAATGTAGGCCTGCCTTTTGGCCGAGAAGAAAGCAATAGAAAGAAGAAACGCTGGAAATATGAGTGAGAAGAAAGGCTTCGATCGAAGGCACGGGAGAGATTAACCTTGACCAGGGGAACAGCTCTGTGACTTCAGGTGTCGCGTGGGAAGGCTTGAGTGGGGAGACGGAAAGCACGCTTATGTAACCGGGCCCTGCAGAAATGTCATTTAGAGTCCTCAGCAGCTCTCCAAGTTAAGAAGCAGGAGCTCTGGAGGGTAACCTGTGATGCCTCTTAGACGGTCTCCTTGCTGAAATAGAAGCTGCTGGGTTTTTTTACTATGGAAATACAATGCTAATGCCTCTTACAGTGTGTTCCCAAGACACTGGCACTGGGTTTGCTCCTGAGATCCATACCAGGTGCCTCAAAATAGATTCTGTGAAAGTTGATCTCAGAAATTTTCATGTCTTTTATTTTGGAAAAAGCATACAGCATAAAAATTATAGTATTAGCAACTTTGGAGTACAAAGTCAATGGCATTTAGTATGTTCACAATGTTTTACAACCACCTCCCCTGCTTAGTGAGTATTGACATGGAGAATCTCCATGCACTTGCATGCATGCAGGCATGCATGCGTGCAGACAGAAGAACTGTTTGCAGTTCTTCTCTGGACAAAGGCTCTGCTCAGGTGCATGCTCTGTGTGTGCGCGTGTTTAGGGGTGGAGGGCAAGTGCTGTACACTGACCTATAGCTATTAAGTATTTTCTTAAAACAAGCCTCTTCAATAATCCCAATCAGACCAAATTAAAAGACACCCATGTTTAATAGACTATAATACTCCCAAGAAAACATGGAGAGGGGAAGAGAGGAGTGGGGAGACCATGCAAAACCTGGAGAAAAAAACATGTTCATTCTGGGGGGGGGCAGCTTAAATGGCCTGTGGTCTTGACCTTCCCTGCGGAGGGATGACCATTTGGTGGGCTTTCTCAGAGGTGGAGTTTGGACTGAGGCAACTCCCAGGGGAGAGAGCTTATGCAAACAACTCAGACATTTTGTATAAAGGGGTGCCAGGGAGCTGAGGTGACGCTTTCTACCAAACAATAGCCACAGCCTTGTTACAGTTCATATGAGAGAGAAGGAGCAAGCATCTCACTAAATTGCCCAAGCCAACCTTGAACTCTGTAGGTAAGGCAGGTCCTTGATCTTGAGATTTTTCTGCCTTCACTTCCTGAGTACACAGATCATTCGCTGGGGCCACCAGGCCAGACTCATACTCATTTTTCCTGCGTTGTTCGTCTTTGATTTTTAAGTTGTAGAAGCTCTGTACTTTCTAAATATGAGACTCTTGTCAGTGCTGTGATTTGCGAACATTTCCTTCTGCCCTGCCTTCTTTTGGGCTGTATTCCTTCCTTCCCCATTCCTTCCTCTCCTCTCTGCTTCCTCCTCCTCCTGTCCACGGTCTCTGTTATTTTAATGATAGGGTTGAAATCAGGGCTTCCTACCTGCTAGACCAGTCCTCTGCCACTAAGCCCCATCCAGCCCTTCTCTATCTTACATCCTTAACTGAGTAGAAGTCTTAAATTTTGATTCTGCCTAATATCTCTGCTGTTTGTTGGCTGTGGAAGCATACTCAGGTTCAGAGTCTGAATTTTATGGTTGTGATTGTTGCACTAAGGCCGACAATCTTTTCCAAGATCATGTCTGCTGAGAATTATGTTTTTTACAGGTTGAATCACTAACCACAGTGATTTTAATTTGAGAATATTTCCATATAAATAATAAGACATCTTGGGGATAGGATCCATGTGTAAATGTAAAATTCATTGTTGTTTTATCTAGACCTGAGGTACATAACTTGAAGGTGATTTTATTTTTTTAAATAAATTTATGTATTTATTTATTTATTTACATCTTATCAAAGTTTCCCTCCCTCGTCTCCTTCCACCCCACCCTCCACCCCTTGTCTTCCCTCTGTTCCCATCTCCCAATCCACTCCTCCTCCATTTTTGTTTAGAAAAGGGCGGGTCTCCCATGAGTATCAACAAAACATGGCATATCAAGTTGCAGTAAGTACTAAGCAGCTCCCCATGTATTAAGGCTGGGCAAGGTGACCCAGTATGAGGAGCAGGGTCCCAAAAGTCAGTCAAAGAATAGGAGACAACCCTTGTTCCCTGTAGGCAGACTTTTCCTGTCCCCTGTAGGCAGACTTTTCCTACCCCAACCACATGATCCCAGATAACCAATACAGAGACTTAAGATTACTTATAAATCCTCAGCTGATAGCTCAGGCTTATTACTAACCAGCTCTTACATTTTGTTAACCGGCATTTTTTATTTACGCTCTACCACATGGGGTACCTTTATCAGCATGGCACATTCGTTCCCTGCTCCCTCTGCTTCTGACTGGCAACTCTCTCTGACTCCACCCTTCCTCATCCCATCATTCTCAGTTTGGCTCTCCCGCCTAACTGTATCCTGTTTAACTATTGGCCAGTCCGCTTCTTTGTTTAACCAATCACAGCACCAACTCCTTATAGTTCAAAAAAGGAATATTCCACAGCAGTTCCCCACTGTTAGGAGTCCCACAAGAGGACCAAGCTACATAGCTGTAACGCATATGCAGAGAGCCTAGGTCAGTTTCATGCAGGCTCCCTGGTTGTGGTTCAGTCTCTGTGCAGCCCTATAAGCCAGTTTAATTGATCCTTAAGTTTTCTTGTGGTGTCCTTGACCCCTCTGGCTCCTACAATCCTTTCTCCCCTTCTTCTGCAGGATTCCCCAAAGTCCGTCTAATGTTTGTCTGCATCTGTTTTCATGGCTTGCTGGATGATGCATCTCTGATGACTATTAGTCTAGGTACCAATCTGCTGCCAGGAGATGGCCAGCTTAGGATACACACTGGCTGTTGCTAGGAGTCTTAGCTGGGGCTATCTCTGTAGATTCCTAGAAGATTCCCTTGTGCCAGGTTTTTACCTGACCCCAAAATGTCCCCCTCTTCCAGTAGTCTCTTTCAGTGCTCCCTGCTCTGCCCCCACAACCTGATCTCATGTTCTCATCCCCACCTATCCTCGGTCCACTCATGAAATCTCTTCTATTTCCCCTTCCCAGGGAGCTCCAGGTAGTCTCTCATGAAACCTCCTTGCTACCTAGTCTCTCTGTGTCTGTGGATTAGAGCACAGTTATTTTTTATTTTACAACTAATATCCTCTTATGAGTGAGTACATACCATGTTTGTCTTTGTCACTCTTTTCTAGTTCCATCCATTTGCCCTGGAGGTCATTCTAACATGCCTGCATTTTGATTGCGAGTTGTCACGTGAAGCTATATGTGAACTTGCCTACAGGAGGCATCACGTTAACACTCCAAAAAGATCGAGGGTTTGGCGTGTTTTGGCTTTGAGTCTTTGATTAGAACTGTCTCACATGTGGTTAGATTGCTTAAAGTCTGGGTGTCTGAGAAATTACAGACATCTTACCTGCTCTTCTTTCAAGAAAAACTGCTATTAGCTGAGTGCTGCTCTTTCGTTCGGGCTATAAATAGCTTTAGTGAGCTACTTAGAGAGGTTAAAACCAAGCAAAACTCCAAAGTAGAAGCTGCCTGGCCACTGTTCTGACTGTTGCAGATTAACTGATAGAAACAGTTGAATATAATGATTTCCACATTGATTTCACTCCTCAAGAGTTTATTGAGAGCCAGGTGCTAGTACTGCACGCCTTTAATCCCAGCACTCGGGAGGCAGAGGCAGGCGGATCTCTGTGAGTTCGAGGCCAGCCTGGTCTACAAGAGCTAGTTCCAGGACAGGCTCCAAAGCTACAGAGAAACCCTACTGCATGCTAGACAAAAGATGCGATCCATGGCCTCATGGACTCACAGTCCAGCCAGAGATTAAAAGCGTGAGGAGAGAGGGCCAAGCTGTTGCAAGAGAACAAGTTCAAAGTGCTGCGGGGTGTGAAGGAAACAAAGAGGCATTTTAATCAAGGCAGTTCCGAGAGCTGACCTATCTGGAAAAGGGGTCTGGCAGCTGGAGGAGTAGACTGAGATAAAGGAGCAAGAACGGGACACGTGGTCAGCGATGGGACCGCTGATTCTCACACCTCCTGTGCTTCAGCCCTTAGAAATATTCTAAGTGTTTCAAGGTTGGGTTTAAAGTAAGTTTTCCTAGACATCCGTAACCAAGGTTTCAGACACAAATAAATTTCCTCCATCCATGCACAGCTTTAGCAAAAAACATGGCCAGTCTCATTTTGTCTGCACCCCATATCACCCTGCCCAGACTTTTTTTTTTTTTTTTTTTTTTTTTGGCTTTTTGAGACAGGGTTTCTCTGTAGCTTTGGAGCCTGTCCTGGAACTAGCTCTTGTAGACCAAGCTGATCTCGAACTCACAGAGATCTGCCTGCCTCTGCCTCCCAAGTGCTGGGATTAAAGGCATGTGCCACCACCGCCTGGCCAAAGTTTACTAATTTCTAAATGACACTGGTATTTTAAAAACATGAGGATACAGGGTCAAGTGTAGTGGCACAGACCTTTAATCCCAGCACTAGGAAGACAGAGGCAGGTGGATCTCTGTGAATCAGGCCAGCCTGGTTTATATAACGAGTTCCAGGACAGCCAGGTTTATGTAGAGAGACCCTGTCTCAAACAACATAAACACACATACACACAAACCCTGAGGATTTACATTAATGTTAACATTATAAAATATATAAAATTCTATCTTATTTTTCTGTGGAGAGTTTTTTTTTCCTCTTTAATACTTTTGGTAGGAGATACAAGGGCCACTGAGTTTCTTCAAAACTAAAATGATGCTTCACATGGAACCAAACAGCTGCCAGACTGCATTAGATGTTAGCTCTGCAGTTACAGATATTCTGCAAAGACGCTTTTTTTCTGTTACACGTTCACAGCAAACATCGAGCGTAAATGGGGCTCTTGAGAACTTCCCCCCTTGTCTTTGCATAGCAGTCGTTCCCTAGTTCCCTATGCCATGTGACACTCGGAATCTTCACTGCGCCTGCAGTGCCTGCCTATTATCGGCTGAACTCTGATAGCCCCACTCCGTAAAGACATTATTATCTAATGTTTACGGTTGCCATCAGTTTCTCTTTGTTGTGGCTTTGGGGCTCAGGATGTAATAATAAACAATCTATGCAAAATACCCCACTCGTGAGCCAAAAAAAAGGCTTTGTAGTGAAGCCTGCAAGAGGGATGAAGGGAAATTAGTGTAACATCTCATCAGTTATAATTTACTTAATTTTCGATAATGAGAGAATACTTGGCATTTATCTACACACAGTAAATGATCTCAAATCCATGATTATAACCTGGTG